TTTGTCGGGCTCATTTTCAGCTCGGGTTTGCTGCTCCGGAGCCGTGACCGAGACTGGGGGAAAAAAGCTCTGCTCTCACCTGTAGCCTCTCGATGGGGAGATGGGGGGGGGGGTGCTGGTGTGTTTGTGCGTGAGCAAAGACATAGAGGAGCGGAGACATGAAGTGAACGGTCCCGTAAAAGGGGGGAGAGGCAGCAAAGGGAGAGTAGAGCCGGGGCAGAGCAGTGCGTCCTTCCCTCCTGTGTCCCTGCTGCGGTCAGGGAGGGGACAGTGACCCCACCGGCAGGGCTGTGTCCTCACAGCATCACCAGGGAGGTGGAAATCCATGCAGGATTGGTTGGGGTTTTTTTTTTGGCAAACCGGTATTACGTTCCAAAAGAGCCCCCTGAAGGAATATCTGAAATAAATACCCCCAGAGCCCAGGGAGCGAGACGGGGAGCACTTCGGAGGGTGTATTTTAATGCTTCGCGTTCCCCTTGGCTGAGCTGTTGCCTGGCGTGGGCTCAGCTCCGGCAGCAGGAGTAGGTGAACTCTTCTGGTCCCATAAAGAGAGGTTTAATCCACAAGAAAATGCCATTTGCCTCATGGGAACCCCGGTGGAAGATCAAGGGCCAGCAGCACACTTTCTGCTTGCTTTTCTGGCTGTGTCTGGCCAGGGGAGGTGTCCGAGGGTGGTGGACACAAAGCTTTGGTGCCCCCAGAGCGGTGTCTCACCCAGGCGTCCGGGCTCTGTTTATTTAATACTCAAATTAGGGGTGCGGGAACTGCTACTTAATAATATTTTCAGATGAGAAAAGGCAGCGCCTACGAGCGGCAGTGCCAACAAGGCAGTCAGTATTAAAGCCTTAGAAAAAGGCGTCTATAACTAAAAAAAATACACGGAGTCGATCAGATGCTGAGCCACAAGGACGGCATCTCAACATACTTCTTTGAAGTGCGGCGGTTCAGCACCAGCCCCGTCTCTTGCTGGTGCACCAGCAGTTCCCAGGAGCAGTTTTCCAGCCCCCAGTTCATTCATCCGAGCTGCTCGTGGCTTTTTTTCTGCAGGGCCTGGGTTCCCGCCTGGCCCGATTTGGAGGCTTCAGAGCAGCCTGTCCCCATCCCCGCGCCGCTCCCCGCGCCGGGCTGCCCGCGCACAATCCCCCACACAAAAGAGCAGCAAAGTCAGGGGCTGCCCTTGAGCCCGGCTGGACGCGAACCCAACTCTGCTGAGCCCTGTCTGGGGAAACGGGGCTGCAAAACCCCGGGGTGGGCTGGAGCCAGCGTCGGTTTGGCAACTGTCTGCCGGCTGGTAGCCAACCCTTCCCACCAGCCCAACCAGGCGGCGAGGTGGGGATGGCCATGATACAGCCAAAAACTGAGCTGGGGCAGGGTGGGGGGTCAGCAATGCCCCTGCCATCGGCTCCCCTGCGCGACAAC